ACCGGAGCAGACGGAACTTGCAGCTTCTTCATCAAACCCGGAACTAATCGAGCCGTTTGTGCCAGCCTGGGGAGAAAGATATTGTAATAATGTAAATTATGTGAAAAATAATACGTTTTTCGAATCACCAAGCATGAGAGCATGTTCTAGTACACCCCCAAAACAAAATCAAGACTTTGTAAAAGAGCATAATAGGACCCCTTTACTCCAAACAAAGTTTAATTATAGTTTTTATATCAGTAAAGTCTTGAGTGATATGTCAGTAAATATGTTAATAGATCTGAACTGTACTTAGTATGAAATAAATGGATTTTAAATATAATACTTTTTATTAGAATTTATTTGATTAAAAATACAGTAAAAACAGTAGTATTGTAAAATATTATTACAAATTTAAACATCTGTTTTCTATTTTAATATACTTTAAAATGTAATTCATTCCTGTGACGCAAAGCTGAATTCTCAGCATCATTACTCCAGTCTTCAGTGTCACATGACCCTTCAGAAATCATTCTAATATGTGACCCTGGAGCACAAAATCAGTCTTAAGTCGCTGGGGTATATTTGTAGCAATAGCCAAAAATACATTGTATGGGTCAAAATTATCGACTTTTATGCCAAAAATCATTAGGATATTAAGTAAAGATCAAGTTACATGAAGATATTTTGTAAATTTTGTACCGTAAATATATCAAAACTTACATTTTGTATTTATAATATGCATTGCTAAGAAGATGAAGTAGTGAAGAACAGATTTCCACTATTATGGAAAAGCCACCTAGTAAGAAGGATCTGGTCACACATTTAATGAGAATGAATGTCCACTTTTGGAAACAAACAGCCACAATTTCAATGCTCCCAAGCGAGGTATTGTTTCAAATCAACGGTTCTTCATCTGGTGCAGATCATTTATACTAACAATTCAAAATATCTACTATCATTTGTTATGGTGCAGTAACATCTAAAAGAATAAATTCTTATTTTGTAAGCAATTCATAGTTTCATGTTAGACATTGTTGCCTCCTGTTCAGGAAATATGTAGAATTCACCAATAACTCAATTTTAAAAAAAATGATCCTTATGACTGGTTTTGTGCTCCAGGGTCACATATGCTTATTCGTATTATTAATGCTGCTGAATATTTTTATGGAAATACCTTTTTCAGGATTCTTTGGTGAGTAGAAAGTTCAAAAGAACAGCATTTATTTGAAATAGACATATTTTTTAAAACGCCTTTGCTGTCACTTTTGACCAATTTATTGGATCCTTGCTGATTAAAACCATTACAAATCTTACTGTCTACAAAGTTGTGAATGGTATAGTGTACTTACCACATTTTCGGTTTGCTCCTAGGTCAGATAAGATACTAAATGAAGTAGTGAAGAACAGATTTCCACTATTATGGAAAAGCCTAGTAAGAAGGATCTGGTCACACATTTAATGAGAATGAATGTCCACTTTTGGAAACAAACAGCCACACTTTCAATGCTCCCAAGCGAGGTATTGTTTCAAATCAACGGTTCTTCATCTGGTGCAGATCATTTATACTAACAATTCAAAATATCTACTATCATTTGTTATGGTGCAGTAACATCTAAAAGAATAAATTCTTATTTTGTAAGCAATTCATAGTTTCATGTTAGACATTGTTGCCTCCTGTTCAGGAAATATGTAGAATTCACCAATAAAGAAAAATGAATTTCCCCTTTTCTGATCTTTTTGTGGACAGTAAGTACTTTGATTCAGAAAGGAAGCATTAAATTGATCAAAAGTGACAGTAAAGACATTTATAATGTTACAAACGATTTCCATTTCAAAAAATTCTGTGAACTTTCTATTCATCAACAAATCCAGAAACAACAACAACAACAACAACAACAAAAAATCCACAAAAAATATTCAGCATCACTGCTAAAAATTCAGCTTTGGCATCACATGAATAAATTACATTTTAAAACATATTTAAAAAGAAAATAGGTATATTAAAGAGTTCTCAACATGAAAAATAATCAGAAATGTTTCTTGAGCAGCAAATCAGCATATTAGAATGATTTCTGAAGATCATGTGACACTGAAGACTGCAGTATAATGATGCTGAAAATTCAGCTTTGCATCACAGAAATAAATTACATTTAAAAAGATTAAAACATTAAACAGTTAAATGTAATAATATTTCACAACATTACAGTTTTTACTGTATTTTTGATCAAATAAATGCAGCCTTGATGAGCAGAAGAGACTTCTTTGGAAATATGTAGAATTCACCAATAAAGAAAAATGAATTTCCCCTTTTCTGATCTTTTTGTGGACAGTAAGTACTTTGATTCAGAAAGGAAGCATTAAATTGATCAAAAGTGACAGTAAAGACATTTATAATGTTACAAACGATTTCCATTTCAAAAAATTCTGTGAACTTTCTATTCATCAACAAATCCAGAAACAACAACAACAACAACAACAACAAAAAATCCACAAAAAATATTCAGCATCACTGCTAAAAATTCAGCTTTGGCATCACATGAATAAATTACATTTTAAAACATATTTAAAAAGAAAATAGGTATATTAAAGAGTTCTCAACATGAAAAATAATCAGAAATGTTTCTTGAGCAGCAAATCAGCATATTAGAATGATTTCTGAAGATCATGTGACACTGAAGACTGCAGTATAATGATGCTGAAAATTCAGCTTTGCATCACAGAAATAAATTACATTTAAAAAGATTAAAACATTAAACAGTTAAATGTAATAATATTTCACAACATTACAGTTTTTACTGTATTTTTGATCAAATAAATGCAGCCTTAAGCATAAGAGATAAAACATTGAAAAAATCCTACCAACTTTCAATCGGTAGTGTATATGTATTTTAGCACTGCACAAGAGATGAGGCAAACACATTTTACAGTGTTAAATGCAAAACTGTGACACTGAGGACTGTGAGCAGACATGTTCAGTTTAATTTTTCATGTTTCTTACCAAACAAGGAGTCTATGAATGATTTACCATGATTCTACCCTGTTCTACCTACGTGTTAAAGAAATCATTGCAATTATGTTTCCATATAATAGGCGTATAACAGGACCTTCCCCTCATGCAGCATGAGGGTCAGATTTGTGATGCCTTGGATTATGCAAGTTACACAGAGATATCTTAGATAACACATGTTTGTGTACAGGAGCGTGAATGATTGTGTTTATCAGGGATGCAAGCGGAAGCATTACTGCCAAGACGAATGCACACAATGAATCGTGATTTACACACAGTTTGAATCACAACAACTTCAAGAGGCTTCAGAATAGCAACTGCAAGACAACCTCCATCATCTGCAATGGCCTAAAATTAGACCCATCAGTGTGAAAAAAAGCAAGTTTTGTCCAGGATATTTTCAAAATTTCACATTTTAGCTTTAGTTTTTTGGTAGCTGACCACCATTAACCACAACAAACCACACTAAGTTTCAAAAGAAAAGCTGGATAAGGTTATCTCGTCTCAATCACTGGATCTGTGCTTTGGGTTATGTTCTAAATATTACCAGTTAATAAGAATTAACAATTATTCATTATTATTATAATCTTATTAACAATTAATAAGAATAACTTCTTATGAATGACCATTAATATTCCAGTGCTGTTTCTAAGGTTGTTTCCCCCCATATAAAATGCCCCTGCACTGTTGTTGCATTATTCACATTCCTACCATTAACACTATCCTAGTGGGCCGGGATACTATTCCACATAGTAATATTTTCAAAACACAATGCTTTTTCACTGCTAGCTATTGACTCTATTAATGTGATTCTCTCCTGAAGGGCATTGTAATGCTAAAATGTGGGAAGTGATTCAGCCACTGGGCTATTTATAAACCCCTTTCCTTTGTATACCGCCATCTGAAAATCAACCCTGCAGTGTAGTTGGTTTTAAAGGACCATGACATTTATGGCAGGACAAATCAAAGTAGCAAATAAGGTCGCAGCTTGTTGCGTACCACCCCAAATGTTCTTTTTCCTCCAGATATAGGAAATATATCAAAGAACAGAGTGAATGTTTTCAAATATCTTGTGAACATTTTCCTAATTGTTCACCCCAAAATGAAACTTCAGTCATGATGTACACTTATTTTGTTCTATATGTTTCTTTTTTCTGTTGAACATGGTAAAAGACGCTGTTTTTTATCCATAAAATGAAAGTTTAACTTTCATTGTAGAACACAGGGTTCTGATATTTAACTAAAACAAAAGGCATTTAAAAATTGTTACTTGAAATTAAAAAAGGGGGGGTTACTAAAATAATATAAAACATTTAAATTGTTTACATAAAATACAATATTAACATTTAGTCTAACTTGATGCATAAAACTGAAACTGAAATTAAAAGAATATAAAAAATAGAATAATAAATAATAATCATATAACCAAAAACATATTTTTACATAAACATAAACATATTTATATAAAAATAAATTATATAAACATAAAAACAAAACTTAATAAAAATGGCAAAAACTTAAAATTACTAAAACTTTAACAAAAATTTTAATTAAAACTAGAATAGAATAGAATAGAATAGAATAGAACACTGGCAAAAGCCAAATGCATCAGGCAGAAATAAAAACATCAACCTAACTTTATGTATAACTCAAATTAAAACTGAAATAATAATTACTAAACACTATATAAACATTAAAAAGCACATCAACTTAATAAAAATAATGATAACATACAACAAAATTACTAAAACTTTAACAAAAATTAAACTGCATATGTTCATGGATGCAATAATATAATATGATATATGATATGATATGATATGATATGATGATATAAAGATAAGACTGGCAGAAACCAAATGCATCAGACAGAAGTTAAATTGAAGCTTTTTTTAAATAGGAGTGTGAGACAGACTAGAACAAATGCCTTCGCACACTGCGGCTCAACGTCTATTCTTATCTCAACCTCCAAGGGCATGTTCTGTGTTTAAAGTCACTGCAGCACACTCACTTTTTGGGCCTGTAGTCCGGAATGTTCCTGTCCAAGGAGATGCGGTCGCTCAGCTGGGCGTTGTAGCCGTACTCCTCGTACCTTCCTTCGCTCTCTCGGCTGTCCTCCCCCAACGTGGCAGCTGCACCGCCCTCTCCCAGACCTCCAGGACCCTCCACCAGACCCATGGGCTTGGATAGACCTGCCAAGCAATGTGGGGAAAAACAGGTTTGACTTCGGTTAACATGACAAAGGTCAGGATATCCCATAAGAACGGTGAAGCGAAACTGGGTTCATGTGGGAGAACCCACCGGTGACACGCAAATCAAAACTGCTGAACAAGATTACAGAGCGATAATTGGATGTTGGACACCAAGACACCACCTTCGCCTTTTGTCACCTCTTTCATACAGACCTCCCGGGGGGAAAAGGTGGAAAGCAAGTGAACTGTGTTTAAAGGGTTGTCAGTACAGAGTTAGACTTCTTTCCCTTTGGAAATACACCTAAAACGTCTAATCTGTTCTCTGGCTCTATGCTAATTAGAATGGGACTGATGCGGGGGTTGTTTCCGGCACATCAAATGCTGTGCAGTTTGACACCCAAAGAATATGACAAAAAAGAATAAATCCACTATATCCGATAGTGAGCGCCATACGGTTGTTCTTAATTACAATCATTAGTCTTTCCGTTCAATATTCGTGAACTGCTGAAGTTTTTGGTCGGAATAATTGACACGTTATTTGAAAGCCAGGATTCAAGCCTTTGCTGTGCTCTTTAAAAGAGATGAAACAAGTGTAACAGACTTGTTAGAGATGCCGTTTCATTTTGACATTTAAAAGAGCAAAATGATGTGTTTCACTGCATTATTAATGACTACATAACATTTCTATCACGTTTCTGAAATAAGTGCATGATCCAAGGATGTTCATTTTAAAGCCTTGAATTACAAAAGCTTTTATCACATGTTTCTAAGATGATTCTGCATTAAAAGACAGAAATACCTTGTAGTTGATTATATTTTACTTGCTCTTTTCCTAAACTGTGCAACTGCACTTCAGAATATCAACCTGCATTAAAAAATGATTTAATAATAGTTCAAATGTGGCATGTTTGAAGATGCCAAGCAAAGCATGTATACGACTGTACATTCTATATTAATGTTGCTACTCAGCTTGGCAACCAGCCTAGTTATCTAATACTTGGCCGATATTTTTTAGCTAATCAATATTATTATTAGACATTTATATAATAACATCTTAGTCTTATCATTATGCTTTTGTTGTCATATTTTAAAAGCAATATGCAATAAATGTATTCTCAAGAGAGTGCGTATATAATACATACAGTAAATGCAGTTTAGAACTACCCAAAATAATGCATAAAATTAATTTAAAAATACATTACGTAATCAGTGAAGTATTCAGAAAAGTTTTAGTAGCAATCAAAACTATTAAAAGTAATTTTTGTCACATAACATATTACAAAAATGCTGTTTTATTACAAATAACATTAGATAAAAAAAACTAGATGAAAATTAGAAACGTTTTCTTGGCAAGCAAATAAGTTTAAGTACTAAAATTACTTTATTACTATAAATATTCAAAATGAGTTAAATATAAATGTTGAAAAATATAGTAATCATAGTTTATAATTATACTAAAACATTTCATTTTTATTGCGCTCAGGAAATTATATTTCATGAAGCTCTCTCATCATGACTCCGGATGTCCATGTTTCTCAAGACCACACAGTTGAAATCCAGTCCACCAGGCAAAGAGCTTCTTTGATCGTGAGGTTATCCTTTCACAAACATCATTAGAATGTATATGTTGAGAAGGTCTGCTTGGATAGTACTGCTCTGCGGGGTAACCATGCTTTGCAACCGAACGTAGAAATTGTGTCTTGAAATCTAAACTGGTCGGTTCCACAAACAGCAGTTGGTGCAGCATTAAAGGAACACTCCACTATTTTTGAAAATAGGCTAATTTTCCAACTCTCCTAGAGTTAAACAGTTGAGTTTTACCGTTTTCGAATCCATTCAGCCGATCTCCGGGTCTGGTGGTAGCACTTTTAGCTGTAGCTTAGCATAGATCATTGAATCTGATTAGACCGTTAGCATCTCGCTCAAAAATGACCAAAGAGTTTCTATGTTTTTCCTATTTAAAACTTGACTCTTCTGTAGTTACATCGTGTACTAAGACTGACTGAAAATTAAAAGTTGCGATTTTTTACCAGACCCGGAGATCGGCTGAATGGATTCGAAAACGGTAAAACTCAACTGTTTAACTCTAGGAGAGTTGGAAAATTAGCCTATTTTCAAAAATAGTGGAGTGTTCCTTTAAAGCCTATTCCACCATCAACCCTATAAACCAGACTTGCACCACAAACGGCTCCGTCCCAGCTGATCTACATAAAGCACCTTTCCTCCTGGCAGTCGGGACCTCCCACAGTGTTGACTTGTCTTGGAGGCTGAGTTCTTGGATCATGAGGTTTTCTCGCAAGCTGGAGCTGAAATGGTAATGTCTCTCTGTGAGGGTTTGTGTCTCTTTCACTGTCATTGTTATTGCCATTGTCTCGAAGGCTGCCTCTGTTGGCTGTTTTGAGAGAATTCTATTACATAGAGGCCTGGCATTTTGACACTAATCCCTAAGAGCCAGCTGTCTATGGCAGAGAGAAACTGCATATCACACTGACTTAATGCAGCATTCTGCTAATACAACACAAAATGTTGAGGAGCAACATCATATTTTCATGAACATACAGTTCGAAAAGTTATCAAATAACATTTTCTCCAACAATCTCATGATATAACAAAAAAACAAAACAGTCTTAAGCTGGTTTAGAGGGTTTTGGCCAATTGTCAAGTGCTGGCCAACCAACTAAGCCAGCTGAAAACCAACTTGGCTGGGTTTTCTAAACCAAAGATGTCCAGTCATGCTTCTGATGGGCTGATGTTCTGCAGAGTTTAACTCCAACCAGCTTGCATGTAAGTTTGTGGTTGTTGTGTCTCATTTCGAAGGGCGCGTCCTTTGGAGGTTGCATTTTTTAATTAATATCAAAGACTTATGCACTCTCTCTGTATATATTATGAAAACTGGTAAATCAAACAAAAAATATTACGAGCGAAATTCCTAATAGAAGCCTAATTCCAATGATTCCAAATTGCAATAATGTTTCTCTATTAAAACAACAGCGGTTGAGTAAGTGTATTTATTCAGCAACCACAATCGCAAACAATATAGTCGAGATCTCATGACAGAACACAGACTGGCTGAATATCTGACATGGAGATCGCTAAACTTCAGCTTACTTGTTTGTCTTTGTTTTCAGATCATTGTCGGCGCTTTCATAATGAAGAGCGAGCATGTGGGCAAAAAACACTGGGCAGAAAATGAATCCTTTAAACAGAGAAGCTCTGATTTGAGGATTTGAACTCTTGATATCTGGCAACCGCACACAAAAAAGCTGGCATAGTAGAGGTAAGTACAGCAGTCCACAATAATATTTTGTCTCCTTTTTTTTTGACGAAAATAAAAAGAGATTTTTATTTTTTTAAATACATTTTAGTCTCGTCTTTTATCGTCAACGATATTGCATGTTAATATAGTCACAGTTATCGTCCATCGACCTAATTTTTGTCTCATCATTGTCTCGTTTTAATCATAGGAAAAAAGCTCATCAACATACATTTTTCATCATAGTTTTTGTTAACAGAATTAATACTAAATGACAGTAATTTATGCCTCAAATGAAATAACAGCACATTTTATATTGGCTACTTTTCTAAAATGAGACATCCTCGATGACGTACACGGCGAGTATAATGCAACCTCCAGAGGACGCAGACTACGAAATTAAGCCACAACTACAAACTTCCTGGCAAGTGCATTCGAGCTGGAGCTAAACTCTGGTACAGGTGGGTTTAACTGGGGTTCACGCCATGTCATAATTACCGTAATTTCTAACCTAAGTTCTAGTTGGAGCTGTCCAAGTCCTCAGACTCAGAATTCTGCGTTTCTATGGTACCCTCATTGCCTAAGAAGCACCGAAATGAATCTGCAGCAGTCAGGTGGTTCAGCGGTCACATGGTCCAAATCATCTGTAAGTTATAATTACAAGTTTCATGTGTATGTGAATGCTTTGGCATTGATAGTGTTGCCACATAGATGCATAATTCCAAGTCTGACTCTGAGTGTTATTATCTTGCAATTATAATATAATTACGATATGACGTGAACACAGCTTAAACTCTGCAGCACAGTGGACACCCCTGATCTAGACCTCTGAACACCAATTTATCCAGGCTGGGAGACCATCTAAACCATCTTAAACCAACTAAGACAAAAAAAAAAAAAAAACAGCTGGTTTAAGCAGGGCTGGCAATTTAACAAATGCCTCTACAATCTTAAAAACAAAAGTATCTTTATTGGCATAGATCAGGGGTGGCGAACGTCGGTCCTGGAGAGCCGCAGCCCTGCAGAGTTTTGCTTCAACCCTAATCAAACACACATGAACAAGCTAATCAAGGTCTGAAGGGTTACTAGAAAGCTACAGGCAGGCGAGTTTTAATTAGGGTTGGAGCTGTACTCTGCAGGGCTGCGGCTCTCAGGACCAGAGCTCGCCACCGCTGGCATAGATGATTCCATGGAGAACCTTTACCATCCATAGAACCATTCCATGCACAAAATGTTCTTTATAGTAGAAAATGGTTATTTAGATGATTTAAATGTTCTTCAAAAAAAATTTTTGTTTATTTTAAAGAAACGTTCTTTGGGCAACCAAAAAAAGGTTCTTTGGGCAAACAAAAAACTTTTGGAACCTTTATTTGTAAGAGTGTATGAAAGTAGATTTAGGGATTTGCAACCTCCAAACTAACTAGTTAACTGACTTCCTCAAATTATTTTAGTGGCTGCTAATAAATTTGGCAAAGGAGATTTTTTCCCCCTGCTGTTCAGCTCAAAGTCGCTACTTAATCTCCGTCTATGTAAATGTGCGTGTGCATGCATGTGATCGCTGATAATAATACGCTTTGAAGGCTGTAAAGAGACAGCAGTGATTACAGTGAGCCGTAGAAATTAAGTTACAAAGACCAAAGGAAACAGGCTCTGTTTGTGGATGAGCAATTACTCTGTTTTCTTCCCTTAAAAAGAAAATCTACAGTACTCTTGCCATTATTTCAACCTCCAAACGAAAAGAGCATGA